GTTGACAATCCTGATCCGACTCGAATAACCTGACTTGTGACCCAAAATTGACCCAATACTCGACCCAACCGGAATTAACATTGGCACAAAACTCATGAAGGCCGAATTGACCTGACCCGACCTGTTTACCAGGTCTACTTTATACTATGTACTTCGTATTATGTACTTGTATTCTGTAGTGTATGCCACGTATGTATATAGTGCGTATGGTACTATGGTCGGCACATACCTGATAAGAGTGATATTTGAAACCTACTTGCACAATGTACATATATGTCAGTCACAATCACCTGACGCAAACCATTTCTATGAAAATTAAAGACTTGTTAATTAATGATGTTCAGACCAAAACTACTGTAAAACACAGGAAATAAAAAGGTAAAAACAAAGTTTGCAAAACAGTTAAAAAGAATCATCTCCTTATGATGAAGCCCTAACCACAAACAACACATAAAACAATTGCCCTTCCCAGCTGGTTTGCATAAAGATTCTATTTCATTCACCTTCTTCTTTTCTTTTCCTTTTTTTTTTTTTCCTTTCTTTTTTTTTTTAGAAATTCAAAGTCAAAACTCAGAAGTACCCCACCAAATACACAAACATATTTCTCAAAAAGATTTTGAATGTACTACACCAGAACTGCACAATCAGTAATACAGTAATAAATTTCCTTAAAAAAAAAAAATACTCTTGATACAATATATAGCAAGAAATAATTCCCTTCAAATTACAACATGTTGAATTTTACGCTTTAATTACTTTGTAGATTTTTACTAATTATTGCAATATTAAGGAACAGAGGAAGTAATTGAAAAATCAAATTACTTTATAAAATTGAATTATTTTACAAAAAAATGCAGATAATCATCTTCCTTCCCACTAAGTCACTAAAAACTGCCTCTTGGATCTGTATAATATGGGACCCAATATCCCTTTGGTCCTGGATCTTTGTCCTTTGAGAGGGAATTTGTAACACAAAAAGGCAAAATTTGGGATAATTGTTTATTATTTTTTTTTAAAAAAAGATTAAGAAAGATCCAGTGTTATGGGTCAGATATGATTTGGTAATAATCATTGAATCAATTAAAAGTTAAAAGAATTTTGTTGGGTCATTGATCACATTCTAATTGTGTGCTAATTTTTCATTAATATTGCAATTTTACAGCTTTGACTCACTCATTACTAATTAGTTAGAATGTTACCCTGGATTAACTTTTGCCTAAAAAAGTTTAAAGTTTCAAAACAAATGTAAATATAAGATATATCAGAGAGAAAGACTTACCATGATTTTCTGTAATGCAATATATATCACAAGAGAGTAATCATAAAACTATGTAGTGGGATGTTTTAAGTTTCAATTCAAGGTTTTTACAGCAAATAAAGGTGAAAACAAGATCCCCATTTTTCCAATTTGATATTACTTGATTGATACTTAGTCTTAAATTCTTCATTAATGTAATCATTAAACAATGGAAGGAAATGAACTCCCACATGTGCACTAATGTCAGCACTGTAGATTAAACTAAAGACTTCTCGGTCACTAGCATTAAACCAAGCCTTGCTTGATCTTAATTTTTCCCGGATAAATAAATAACACTTTGTATGTATCTTAAGGTCTGTTCTGAACTGAATTGATTAGAGCTGAGCTGAATTGAATAAGTCTGAAATGAATTGAAATTAAGTTGAAGAGAACAAGTCTTTAATGAGCATATTGATGATGTACAAGAAACTTATTTAATATTTACCTAATGACAATCTTCAACATTTTCCTTCCTAAGGTATTAAAATTTAATAAGGGTCTGTTCTCTTACGTTGAAATTCAGTTCAGTTCAGTTCAGCTCAGCTCAGTTCTGTTCAGTTCAATTCAGCTCAGTTCAACGCCGCTCCTAATTTTCTTCTCTTATAAAATTATCATTTCAGTTCAGTTCAGTTCAGCTCAGTTCATTTCATTTCAGTTCAGTTCAGTTCAGCTGAGTTCAGTCAATAAAAACAGGCCCTAAGAGTACATAAAACCATCAAATATATCAAATCAATAACTAGTAGGAAATCCTAGTTGATCTTTAGATTCAGACTAGAGTCCATTACCAAGTATTTTTATTCCAAAATTACCCCTCTATATAGTTACGAACTTACTATATGTAATCATAAAACACCCTTCATTAATACTAAAAATATCAATAACATCCTCCGTGATTGGACTAAAAAGTTTACGCGAATATTAACCATTGCTCACTAGGCAAAGTGGGTTTAGTTAAGCATCACAGACACAAAGACACTACAAAGCCTTTAGAACATACATTAAAAGAAAATGTCATTATACAAGAACTAACAATTTGACTAACAAACAGAATAGTTGGCCAAAGTTTGCACAAAGTCTTTCAATTGCTGAAGTTTTTGTTACTGATAACAACTACAACTACAAAGAGTGAGTATAATGTCAAACATGATTCAGTGACACAAATTCTTAAGTTTGAATAAAGAAGAAAGAAGAAAGAAAAAAGAGAAAAAAAAGAAAAAAAGAAAAAGGGGAGAGTACAATTACATACTCCTCAAACTTCTCATAAAGTCATCTCATCATTTCTCAACTAAGCTTGACCCTTTTGACAACTACACTCAACCACTCACTTGGACAAACTATTCGGTGAATTTCAGTGGGAACATTTGATTTTTAATTTTTTAAAATTAATTTCCTTATAAATTTAAATTTTTATAAAAAAGATATTAATTGTCATGTGCTTTTCAGGTTTCAACCTTGCCTAAAATAAAAACAAAATAAGAATAATTTTTTTTTTACGAAGTATATATTAAAAAAACAACAACAAAAAAAATAATATCAAAATTGAATGTGACATTACACAAACCTTACCCTTAATTCCCCCCTTTTTTTACCTTTTCTTTTTCAATTTTTAGGGGGGCTAAAATTTCTTTATTTAATTATTTTAATATATGTTTCTTTTTGGTTTTACTTGTCTTTTTTTTATAGTTGGATGGTCAAAAGGGAGTTGAAAAGAAGCATATACTTGAGTAGGATGACTAGTATGATTCAAACACAAACATCTTTGTTATATGCATGATGATCATAGCCTTAGTTTTAGTTTCCTCCATGTGATCATAATTGCAACCGGGGTTTTGCATGCGTGCTAGCTAGCTTAGCTTCTTTAGTGCCATACAACTCTTTTTATAACCTCTATGGCTTCTCCATACATAGCTACTTCATCTCATTATAGAATTGATCACATCACACTTCTTCGATTCTTTGTCCCTAAGTAATATGTTACATTTCCACGGAGTATTTTAACTCATCCTCAAGACCACTTTTTTTTTATTTGACTTACGCAGTTTAGAATTATCTAAATTGTTTATCTACACTTACTTTAACTAATCTGAATTTATTCTCTAAAAAGTGAAATCGAATCGAGCAACAATAAGCTTCTTTCTAGATTTACTGTTTTTCCCCCCTTCAACATTACCCTTAATGGTACATGAATGATAAAAGGAATTCAAACTCAGTTCTTAGATGATATTTCTTTCAAGTGTGATCTTCATTATTTAGACATGAAAGGAGTATTATAGGAGTGTTTTATGTAGAGTAGTTGGTCAAAATGGTAGATTCAGTAGCCCTTTGACTTTCTTAGGACCATTTCATGACATAATCATTCTTATTAAAGAGAATGGTCGGATAGTTAAATTGATGAAAGTTACAGTCAGTTCCTTTTTCCAGGCAGTTTATAGGCACTTGATATACTCATTTTGCTGGCTGATAAAAGTGACATGTGAAAGGCCTGGATATGAATTGGTATGGCAATGCTACAAGGAACCAACCTAAATCAAGAGCAAAATCGATGACAATTGTTTTTAACAGTTAAACAAGGACTCAATCTTGTGTATTCTCTGAAAGGTTTAGACTTCCCAATCTCTCAATTTTACAAGTTGAGTTCATGTTTTATCTATGAGCATGAAGGGTCAAAAGACAATTAAAACTAAGTAAACTCACGTCATGTCTACCTCGTCTTAGCCATTGCGAATCACCTCCTCATTCCTATCATGCCTGGTCGTTTCCAACCTCACCTAAGCCCCAATCAACCGGAAAACAAAATCTACCAGTTTATCCATCAACCTATATTAACTCACATGTAAATTCTAATACAATACTTCAGACTATTTTAGGTTTTATGCCATTTATAATAGCCTTTTTGTACACAATTCTTTGGAGCTATCTAGCGCGTTTTTTTTATGAAACGGGCTATTGCTTATTGGCTTTAGCAAAATCATAAAAAGCTAAATACCAATTTGAGTCTAATCAAGGTCTTGCATGCAGGAGTTATAGATTACAGTTTTCATGTCTGGTAGATGTAAGGTCTAGAGTCACCATTATGGACCCAAGTCACTCCCTTAAGGCTAAAATTTCCATCCAGGGCATCCAACATTATCGAGCCAACAACCCCCTTTCAGCCGTGGCAGTGTTAAACAACTGTTGCCCTTTGTGTCAACAGAAATTAGTCGCCACTCCAAACCACAGTGATATAAGGTCTAGATCTCATTTGGTTCCTCATGGGCAAGGGAAGGTATCCTGGAATGAGTTAAAGTCTCCTAAAAAGCCTGTTGGAATTAGCTCCAATTTCCTAACACTCACTGTAGAGTGTAGAATATGTCCATTGTCATACTCAATAAGGCAATATGCCATTATAGATCATCACACAATTCCAAGAGCTATTCACTGCCACAAAAGAGCTCCGATTTCAAGTCAAACTTTTAGAACAAGGTTCTAGATTCAGTTGTGTTCAAATCGATTAGAAGGTGAAATAGGGGAAGCTCTTATCTTGAAGCTACATCAAAACTTTTTCCTCGTGTATTCATTGGTTCCTGGTACAGTTTCTAATCTTTCTATATAAGGGAACTTTTGGGGTTGGGGACGACAACTAGAGACCTACTTTATAAACAAAATTCCAGTTTCTGCAGTGACATCTAACGAGAGCCTATATTCATTATAAGCATAACCTATGTGAGACAAATAGGTGAAATAGCCACTACACCACAACAAGTAATTAGATGTTTTCATAGCTAAAATGAAAGCAATGTTCTAATCATCAAATACATTAATGTCAACTTATACCAGCCCATACCACAATATGAACAGTTGTAAAGAATACTTTTGCCATTGAATTCAATAGCAAAACAGCCTTAACAGCTATAGTACATTGATTTAAACGGTTTACACATAAAAAAGAGGTTACCGAAGCAGATTGGCGTGTCTTGTCATCAAACACTACCGTCTCTTCAGTATGGTGGTGGAGGGTACATCCCAGGGTGATGCCCTATATCAAGAATATAAAAAAATAAAATGAACAACAGTGAAATACCAATTTTTTTATTTTTTTAAAGGGTGGAATGTACAAAGAAGATGAAAAAAACCTGAATGAGGATAAGGTGGAGCTTGATGAGGTGGAGGATATGATGGAGGAGGATATGCTGAAGGAGGTGGTGGGTATGCAGACGGAGGATATGCTGAATGATCTGGGAGTGGCAGATATGGATAGGATGGGTATGCTGATGGATTAGGAGGATACGGATAAGGTGAAGTAGACGGATATGCAGGGTAAGCTGTTGGTGGAGGAGGATAGGCATTTGGAGGGGGTGGGTAGGCTGAGGTTGTATTTATATAAGACATTGAAGCCGCTGGAGGAGCCGAGTACATAGATACTTGAGTTTGAGGTGATGCACCATAAGGTGGAGCTGAAGGAGCACTGCTTGCATATGGCTTCTGCAATATAGCAAGATTATCTGTTTAGGTCATGATAGCCTGATAATACAGGGGAAAGATACTGATAGAGATTCATGGAATTCAGGCTGAATATGAGCTTACATTGGTTTTGGCAAAATGCATAATCAATTTGACTTCTCCAGCATGTCTGCAATACGATATAACAGTTAACTAGTTAAGTAAAATGGAACATTAAGAATGGAACAAAAAGCAAAGTAGTCATTGTGAATTGCACAAACAGTCGGCTGGAAATTTGAAGATTCTGTAAACTAGCATTATGCCGTATCATTCTCCATAAAATTTAAATAAATGTCTTAACATGTAACTCCCACACTCAAACAGTTCCACTCAAAAGATTTCACAGTGAAACAATGAAATAGCACAGAATTGACGCTCTCATTAATGATATATATAATCGAAGTTCAAAAGCCATCTGTAGTTTATATGATTGAGGATGTGGGGAGCTAACATTGCAGCAAAAAAGATAACTTCCTACTTCCTAGACAATGTGAGTATCATGTTTGTGAACAAGGGCATAATACAGAACAATCATTATATAACTCAAGAGGGACAAAGGATTATTGAGTTTTCGAGCCTTCACAGATACACCTAGACTAAAGTTTCTGGTTTTTTTATCTATCAATGAAGCTTAGAGGAAAACTCAGGCCATAAAACAATGACCTCATTTATATTCACAAGCATCACAGCTCATAATTGTTTAGGCAATACAATCTGAATCCACATTATCATATGAATCACACCCTATCCTAATTCCTAACTAAAAATCCCAAAGTTGCCAGGAAAGCTACAAATGGCACTCCTGTAAACACACAAAGCAATTAATAAACCTTCACAAAAATCGCAATCAGCTGTACAAAAACAGCCAAACTTGACAACCAACCGATCCATGACATGCTGATAAAGATCACTCCAATAATAAGTCTCTCCCAAGTATTTTTTAAGTATCTATAAAAAATATGAATCAGAATTAAACCAAAATTATAAGACAACTGTAATAAAACACCATAATTTCATCAAAGTTGCCACAAATGATGCAGTAATTTCATGGAAAAGCCAGGTAAAGGGGAAGTTTATTGGACATATACACAATAGCTCAAGCAAGCATACTTCTTATTACCAGTACTAATTCAAATTATTGCTATTTCTAAGGTGCTTACTTTGACATTTTTAACCTTCGTTTTCCACAAAGTGTCACTTGTCATGGTAAAATTGCCTGTTGAGTGCTGATCATCCATCTGCTTCTTTTAAATGACTCTGAGTCCAACCCACATCCTCTAAACAAGCATCAAGGCAGATGGAAAATTCTTTCCATGTTTATCAGCGGTTACATATATACCTTCCAAACCAAATCTGCCCATGGTCTGACAAGGAACCCTTGGACCTTATAATTCATAATTTATCATCAACCATTGAATTCTCTACGTAATCATAACTTCAGCACAACATAGATGCTAAAATATTGATCAATAATCATAGATAATAAACAAGAAGACTTCAATGATTTCTTCCTTCTAACAGCACAAGTACATCTGTCAATTCGGGTAAACAGGTCGGGTAAGAGTGAGTCGGGTCAACTCGGGTCGGGTCAATTCAGATTAATTCCATAACTTATACGAGTCAGGTTTGAGTTGGGTCATGCTTCAGTCGGGTCACGTCGGGTCATACTTCTTATCGGGTTTGGGTCGGGTTTAGGTCGGGATAATATGTCAGGTTACATTCGGGTTGGGTGAACAATAGGTCGGGTTTATTTTGGGTTTTCACGGGCTAAAACAGGTTAGGGTAATTCTCGGGTTCAAGTCGCGTTCGGTTCAAGTCAATAATTTGCAAGTTAGAATCAGGTCGGGTCATTCTCGGGTATGAGCCGGAATCAATTCAAGTTAATAATGTGCGGATTACAATCAGGTCGGGTCATTTTCAAGTCGGGTCTTTCTCGGGTTCAAGTTGGGTTTGGTTCAATTCAATAATTTGCGGGTTATAATTAGGTTGAGTCATTCTCGGATTCAAGTCGGGTTATGTTCAAATCAATAATTTGCAGGTTACAATCAGGTAAGGTCATTTTCAAGTCAGGTCATATTCGGGTTCAACTAACATAAATAGATAATAATCATTTTTAACAAGCTAATTATTTCCTTTCACTATAATATATATGGCAATATACTAGGCAACTATAGTCTATAATTTAGGAAGATAATTATCTCCTTTGACCATACAACAAACACATATTATATTTAACTCTTAAATTTGAGGATGATACTCCTTTTTTTTGCTGGCGTGGACCGACTTGGTCTCCCAAGACAAAATGCTTCGATCAACAATAATAAGGTGGTCTAAATTGCAGTTAAAGTGATTTGAAATCGGGTCGGGAACAATTTGGGTTGAATTTAGGTCAGGTCAATAACAAGTCGTGTTAATTTCGAATCATGTTAGTAATAGATCAGATTAAATTTTTGGGTTGGGTATGTAATAGGTATAGTAAAATTCGGGTCGGGTCAACAACAAGTCGGGTTAAATTTGGGTCAGGTCAATAACAAGACGGGTTGATTTTGGGTCGGATTTGTAACAGGTTAGGTAGAATTCAGGTCAGGTTAGTAAATAAGTCAGGTGAAATTTGGGTTTTAACGGGTTAAAATGAGTTTGGGTCAATTTCGGTTCATGTCGGGTTCGGTGCAAGTTAATTAAATTGACCGTTGTAAATCGGTAAATCGGTACAAGTTGTAAACCGGTAAATTGGTCGTTTAAAAGCAAATTAAATGGTTCCACACCCCTAATTAGACTCCTGGACGGTATTAGGGACCATGGCAAACATTTCGACAATTTTTATTTGCGGGCGAAAAAAAGTAAAAAAATTACAAAATTGAAGGCTAATATCCACGCTTTTTGAGAAATTTTGGAGGTTTCGGGGATCCGGTGTCGAAAAATCTTGAAATTCTATGGGATACATCTCGGGGTCATATAATGCCTTTTGAAACTATATGATCATTATTTGTTGTCATAAATATTCGTTGTAGGCTTACATTAATGAAATCAGTGCAAGTTGTAAGCCGGTAAATTGGTTGTTTAAAGGCAAATTGGATGATTCCACCCACCCAATTGTACTCCCGGAGGGTATTAGGGACCATGGTTAACATTTCGGCATTTTTTATTTCTGGGAGAAAAAAATCAAAAAATTTCAAAATCGAAGGCTAATATCCACGCTTTTTTAGAAATTTTGGAGGTTTAGGGGCCCGGTGTAGAAAAGTATTAATATTTTAAGGGATACATCTCGGGGTCATATAATGCTGTTTGGAACCATATATAATCATTATATGTTGTCATATATGTTAGTGGTAGGCTTGAGTTGATGAAATCCAAGCAAGTTGTAAAACGGTAATTAAATTGGCCGTTTAATGGTAAATTGGATGGTTCCACCCACCCAATTGGACTCCCGTGGGGTATTAGGGGCCATGGTAAACATTTCGGCAATCTTTATTTTCGAGCGAAAAAAAAGTCAAAAAATTCCAAAATTGAAGGCTAAGATCCATGTTTTTTGAGAAATTTTAAAGGTTTCGAGTTCTGGTGTCGAAAAGCCTTGAAATTTTAGATACATCTCGGGGTCATAAAATGCCGTTTGGAACCATTTATGAACATTATATGTTGTCATAAATGTACATGGTAGGCTTGATTTGATAAAATCGATGCAAGTTGTAAACCGGTAAATTGGCCGTTTAAAGCGAAATTGGATGGATACACCCACCGAATTGGACTCCCGGAGAATATTAGGGACCTTGGTAAAAATTTCGGCAATTTATATTTGCGTGCGGAAAGAAGTCAAAATTTTCCAAAATTGAAGGCTTTACCCACGCATTTTGAGAAATTTTTTAAATTGGGTACGGTGTCTAAAAGTCTTGAAATTCTAGGGAATACATCTCGGGGTCATATAATGTCGTTTGGAACCATATATGATCATTATTTATTGTCATAAGTGTTCGTGGTAGTCTTATTTTAATGAAATCGGTGTAAGTTTTAATTCAGCAAATTGGCGTTTAAAGGCAAATTGGACCGTTTCACCAACCTAATTGGACTCCCGGGGGGGTATTAGGGACCATGGTAAACATTTCGTCAATTTTTGTTTACGTGCAGAATAAGGTCCAAAAATTCCAAAATTGAAGGCTAATATCCATGCTTTTTTAAAAATTTCAAAGGTTTCGGAACCGCTGTCGAAAAGAAATAAGATTTTAGGGGATACATATCGGGATCATATAATGCCATTTGAAACCATAAATGATCATTATATGTTGTCATAAATGTTCGTGGTAGGCTTGAGTTAATGAAATCGGTGCAAGTCGTAAACCGGTAAATTGGCCGTTTAGAGGTAACTTGGATGGTTCCACCCGCCCAATTGGACTCTCGGAGTGTATTAGGGACCATGGTTAACATTTCGACAATTTTTATTTCCGGGCGAAAAACAGTCAAAAAAATTCCAAACTTGAAAGCTAAGCTAATATCCACAGTTTTTGAGAAATTTTGAAGGTTTCTGGGCCCGGGATCCAAAAGGCTTGAGATTTTAGGGGATAAATCTTGAAATCATATAATGCCTTTTTGAACCATATATGATCATTATGTGTTGTCATAAATGTTCGTGGTAGGCTTGAATTAATTAAATCGGTGCAAGTTGTAAATTGGTAAATTGGCTGTTTAAAGGCAAATTGGATGGTTTCACCCAACCAATTGGACTCCCATAAGGTATTAGGAACCATGGTAAACATTTCGACAATTTTTATTTCGGGAAAAAAAAAGTAAAAAAATTCCAAAATTGAAAGCTAATATCCACACTTTTTGAGAAATTTTGGAGGTTTCAGGCCCGGTGTCAAAAAGGATTCAGATTTTAGGGGATACATCTCGGGGTCATATAATGTCGTTTGGAACCATATATGATCATTATATGTTCTCATAAATGTTTGTGGCAAGCTCGAGTTAATGAAATCAGCAAAAGTTATAAATCGATAAATTTGTCGTTTAAAGGCAAATAGGATGGTTCCACCCACCCAATTGGTCTTCCAGAGTGTATTAGGGAACATGGTAAGCATTTCGGCAATTTTTATTTCCGGGCTAAAAAAAGTTAAAATTTCCAAAATAGAAGGCTAATAT